GAGCGTCATCGAAAAAGATGGGAATTTTTGCGCGGTCGGTTCTGGAAATTTCGGATTCTCCAAAAGAGGTGAGACAATAAAAAGTAAAATTATTGCAATGAAAAAGGTATAATGCGTCGATGGGTCTCGATAATATTAAGTAAAAAGGACTAAAAATTAATGCAAATAAAAATAAAAATGTATTCGATCGTAGGCGCAGGCAACAGCGACTAACGTATCGTCGCAGATGCATCATGTGTCTAGAACGAAACGGGGACAAGCAATCGGCTCTGTTCGAGGATTTCGTGGATGTACAATTTGGATGACGGGGCTTTCCGGTGCCGGGAAGACTTCTGTTTCTTTCCAGCTTGAAGAATATCTTGTTTCTCAAGTACGTTTCGCACGCGATTGCTTCCCCGTACACAACACAGCTGATGATTGATTAAAAAATTTCGAAGTAGATATTAAGAATCATTTCTCTCTAAAAGCTTTCATGTTTTAATCATATAAATTTATCTTATAATTCAATTTAATCGCTCCATTTTGCAATATATTAAAATTCAATGATTATTCCTCGAACAAAAGGGAATTCCTGCGTACAGTTTGGACGGAGACAATATGCGCACCGGTCTGAATCGTAATCTCGGCTTCAGCAAAGAGGATCGCGAGGAGAATGTGCGTCGCGTCGCCGAAGTCGCGAGGCTCTTCGCGGACGCCGGCATCATCACCCTCTGCAGCTTCGTATCGCCGTTCGCGGCGGATCGGAAAATGGCACGCGAGATTCACAGAAACGCCGATCTGCCCTTCTTCGAGATATTCGTCGACGCATCCCTCCAGGTATGCGAATCCCGTGACGTCAAGGGACTTTATAAGAAGGCCCGCCAGGGTATCATTAAGAGTTTCACCGGCATCGATCAGAATTACGATGTACCCGTCACGCCTGATCTCGTCGTAAACACGGAGAACGCGACTGTTCGACAATCCACCGATCTCGTCGTCGATTTTCTCCAGCGTAAGCACATTATACCAAAGTTGGGCGAATCCAAGCAACCTTTCCGGGAACTATTCGTGAAAGAGGATAGAGTAGAAGATGTCCGGAAGGAAATGAGAACACTTCCAGTCTTGGAGATCGGAGAGATAGATATGCAATGGGTACAAGTTCTCGCTGAAGGATGGGCGGCGCCTCTGAAAGGATTTATGAGAGAAAATGAGTATCTTCAAGTAGGTTTAAATCTATCCTATCCTATATAATAGCTCTATGTCTTACAAAATTAACAGGCATTATGAAAAATGAATACATGAATCAAATTTGTTTTTTTTTTCTCGTACAGACGCAGCATTTTAACTGTCTGTATGAAAACGGGGTTCAAAAACACGGAGAACGCGACTGTTCGACAATCCACCGATCTCGTCGTCGATTTTCTCCAGCGTAAGCACATTATACCAAAGTTGGGCGAATCCAAGCAACCTTTCCGGGAACTATTCGTGAAAGAGGATAGAGTAGAAGATGTCCGGAAGGAAATGAGAACACTTCCAGTCTTGGAGATCGGAGAGATAGATATGCAATGGGTACAAGTTCTCGCTGAAGGATGGGCGGCGCCTCTGAAAGGATTTATGAGAGAAAATGAGTATCTTCAAGTAGGTTTAAATCTATCCTATCCTATATAATAGCTCTATGTCTTACAAAATTAACAGGCATTATGAAAAATGAATACATGAATCAAATTTGTTTTTTTTTTCTCGTACAGACGCAGCATTTTAACTGTCTGTATGAAAACGGGGTTCAAATCAACCAATCGATCCCTATTGTTCTTGCCGTAAGCACCGTTGATAAGGAACGCTATATCGATGCGAGTGCGCTCGTTCTCAGATATCAAAATAAGGATCTTGCAATCTTACGTAATCCGGAATTTTATCACCACCGCAAGGAAGAACGTTGCTGTCGGCAATTCGGCACCAACGATCCTAGGCATCCGTACGTCAGAATAATTCGGGAATCCGGCGATTGGTTAGTCGGCGGTGACTTGGAAGTAATCGAAAGAATTCGGTGGAACGATGGTCTAGATCATTACAGGCTAACGCCTAACGAGATCAGGAACAGATGTCAGGAGATTGGCGCCGATGCGGTTTTTGCTTTCCAATTACGAAATCCGATACACAACGGACATGCGCTGCTGATGCAGGTTGGTGGATGCTTTTTCTATATCAAAATAATAAAGTTCTCTCCGTGTAAACGGAGATGTTCGCTTGTCACATTTGCATAGATAATCTTGTTGCATCTCAGGACACCAGAAGATACCTCGTCGAAGAGCGTGGCTTCAAGAAACCAGTTCTTCTCCTGCATCCTTTAGGTGGATGGACTAAAGATGACGATGTTCCTTTGCCGATCAGAATACAACAGCATCAGGCTGTCCTCGAGGAAGGTATCTTGCACAAGGATACTATTCTCGCTATTTTCCCGAGTCCGATGTGTTACGCCGGTCCTACAGAGGTCAGTATATAGTATTTTTACATCTTTTGTTAAACAATACTTCTGTTACGTCCAATACCTCTTAAATATGTAAGCCTTGTTAATATATTTAAAAAATGCTAAATTATTTATCTGATTTGCATTTTTTAGGTGCAATGGCATGCCAAAGCTCGTATGATCGCAGGAGCAAATTTCTACATCGTTGGCAGGGATCCCGCCGGCGTGCCCCATCCTGATAAATCCGTCACACCGGACGGCAATCTTTACGACGCTACTCATGGGGCGCGCGTTCTTTCAACGGCGCCGGGCTTATGGAATCTTGAAATTATCCCTTTTAGGGTAGCCGCTTACGACATCAAAGTGAAAAAGATGTCTTTCTTCGAAGCTGAACGACAGGAAGATTTTATTTTTATTTCCGGCACCAAAATGCGCGGTATATATATATAAATATATATATCTCTCTCGTTTGAATTATCTATTAACTCAAATAATTTTTATATTATTTTCATTTACATGGTTTTCATACATGTACACATAACTCCACAAGCTTTACAAAAATATTTATTGTTTCTTTTTACGTTAGCTTTGGCCAAAAATGGTGAAGACCCTCCCGAAGGCTTCATGGCACCAAAAGCATGGAAAATTATCGCGAAATATTATCAAACTGCACATACATGCAGGTGAGAAGTGAATTATCAAAATAAATAATTGACTTTTTTGTAACTGGTATAATATAACTGATACCTTTTTTTGAATATTGTATACATATAACATTAAGAATTTTATTTGAAGTAATAAATATAATGAAATAAAATTAATAAAGTATCAGGTATATTGATAAACTATTATGGAATTGAAAAGTGCTATAATATATATAAAACAAGTCTTGTATTTTGTTGCTAATCTATTATCTCTGGGGATATCTTTATTTATTGCATCGAATGACACGGAAGGACATTTTGTAGCTTAAATATATTCGACAATCAATCGTGAAAGTTGTCGATAGAAAGTATTCTGCCATTTAATCGGGTATATCTGTAATACAATATCCTATCATTCTTAACTTGATCTTTGTATATTCTCATGTAAACAATGAGCTAGTTTTTCGCTCGAGTAAATTGGCAAGTAAAAATGTTATGTCCGTGCTTACCTTCTTCTTCGGAATCGGATATTCGGGTAGCCTGGAGCGAAGTTTGCTTCGTTAATGTTCGGGCTAGGCCACGTGGTCTTGGCGGCGGCGATTGCTTGTTCCAAAGCGCCTCCAATTGATCAAAATGTTGGGATTGCGCTAAAGCGGCCTGTTCAGGACCTAGACCAGGTTGAGAACCGGCTAAGCCTGCCTTGCTGATCTCTTCCATGGACGCGCTCACGCTAAAGCGACGTTTCTCGATATTCGAGACTCTGATATCTAAAAATAAATGCAAAAATGTCACACAAACTAAATTCGTATATCTAAATATTTTTTTAAAAATTTGATTACACGATCCTCTTGAACAATGTATTAAAATTATATAAAAATGATTGATAACCTGACGTAAGATGGCCATACTTTCGTTGCCAGGTATAAGTATCTAAGGAAACCTCTTTCTTCAGTAATCTTCTGGTAGGTCGTTTCGGTCCTGGCGGTCTCAAATCCCGCGGCGCCACATACAGCGGCAGCTTGACATATTGCGCAGGAGTGTTGTGCAGACATAGAATAGGCAAGCATTTGTGTTCCAATAAATGCACTGCCATCCTAGAACAATCGGTAGACATCTCGACCCCTAATACCGGTACGTGTAGCATGATTGAACTGAGCGGAGTGCCTTTCTTGGTATCCCAGACGATGAGGCTTTTGTCTTCGCTTCCGGAAGCAGCTAGAGTGCCGTCGGCGGAAAGACGCACGCAGGTTACGTAACCCAGGTGGCCTGTGAGAGTATGCAAATCAGCTCCGGTGTTGATGTCCCAGACGATCAAATTGGCATCTCTAGAGCCGGATACCACTATGGACTTGTCGAGCACCGCGACTGCAACGCAAGTCACGTGGTCGGTATGGCCCACCAACACCTGAGAAAGTTTACCGCCGACCAATTGCCACACTTTTAGGCTCATATCGCGGGAGCCAGTGATTAAATACTGAGAATCGGGCGTTGCTACCAAACATGTGATATCTTGCGAATGCGATACCTGATGCTTTTCTTCGGGACCGACGCCCAGACTGAGTATACGCACCTGATTATCGCCAGATCCGCATACCGCATATCTGAAGTAACAAATTGATTAAGTTGAGACGCGTCAGTACAAAATAGCAATCAAAGTTCAAACAATAATATACAAATGTAAAGAACAAATCTAGATAGAAAAGCAAGGTAAGAAATATTTCAGCATAAAGAAAATCATACAAATCTGCTTTTGTCTTACCTCATATCGGACGCGACAGCAAAACATCGTCCGGGTCCGCAAACTGACTGGATCAATGTACCACTATCTGCTGCCCACACCCTGATAACGCCAGCTCGATCCGAACTGACCACTCTTCTTCCATCCAGCATAGCGGTGACAGCGGTCACTGGCGCCTGATGCCTAAACGTAGCTACGACAAGCCCTAGTGTCAAACCCCACACGCGCACTGTCTTGTCCTCAGATCCTAAAGAATTTATACATATTTTATTTAATATAATTACATTAACAGCAAAATTTGGATCATAAAAAAAGATATTATCGTTTAAAAAAAATACGTACCAGATGCGACAAAAAGTCCTGACGCGGAAAATGCGATGCAAGTGACGCTGGCGATATGACCTTCCAATGTGGACAACAACTCATGAGTGTTTAGCTGCCATAGATTAACTAAAGAATCTACACCGCCGGTGACTGCCATTACGCCATCCCTAGAAATATCCAAGCAGGATATCGGCGCGGTATGAGGTTGTAGAGAATCCTGTTTTCCGGGTTTCTGGGGCTTCGGTGGTGGTTCTTCACCGCGGAAGCTCCAATAAGTCACGCGGCCTCCTCCGCCAGTTATCAGAAAATCATCTTTCTCAGTTACCTGCAAGAAACAAAAATAGGAATGTTACAGAGATTGAACAAAATAGAAAAATATATCGAAATTGACATAAATGAGAAAAAAATGATGTACCATGATTTCTCATTTAATCACCTTAACCGAAGTGACGCTTGCTGATGGATTAGCGGGTAAGGTTCTAGTCAACTTTCCACTATGCATGTCGAACACGGATACTCTGCCTTCGGTACCGCCAGCGATAGCTCTTCTACAATCCTTCGCCAAACAGAGACTTTTAACTGGTCCTTGATGTCCTCTAAGCGTGTGAATATCCGTGCCTGTTGCCAAAGACCTCAGATAGAGCTTTTGATCTTCACAAGCGGCTAGAAGAAAAACTGAATCTGCGGACACGTCTAACATGACCACCGGAGAAGGAAGAATAATGCTATTGAGAAGACTGAAGCTTTCCAAAGACCAAAGACACACAGTTCCGTCGACTGATCCTGAAACCAAGACTTCTCCCGCTGAATCAACGCGAATAGTAGTGACAGGACCACGATGATGATCAACTTTCATTAGAACCTCGCCGGTGAGCAGGCTAGTGGCGATAATTCTGGAATCTTCACCACCACTCACAATAACAGAATTGTTGAGAGCCGTTGTTAAAGTAAGGACTGGTGCAATGTGCTCGCAAATCCGCCGTTTCATGATGAGATCCTTCATATCCCAGACAATAATGGAAGTGTCCTCGGAACCAGTTAGCAGATACTGTGATTGATGAGTGACGGCTAAACACGAGATTGGGCTAGAATGTCCTAGAAGAAAAGAAATATAATAATTAATTTTATGAAAAATTATGATGGGGAGAGGGGAGGGGACATCCTTGAAACTCGGAGTAAAATAAAAAACAATATTGCAAATAATCCGTCAATTTACATTAAATGATATTTCTGTTTTTACCTTTGAATGTATGAACGAGCTGACTCGACATCACATGCCATAATTGAGCATCTCCTTGCGGAGGCACAACAACGACGTGTTGACCGGATGGTGCCGCCTCGATCAACTTGACCCCTTGAGGACACGTAATTGCTCGGATTTGCAATGGCAGAGGTGGTTGTAGCCATCCGTTCAGGGGCACGAGCAAGGGAGCGGTGTAACCATCGCACCAAGCCATAGCCGCCATAACCATTCTACTAACCTTAATGAAGCGGTAGAATAAGCTCTTTCTTATTTGCGGATTGATAGCATCTTTTATTGTTAGAAGATAGGTAATAAAAAAAGACTCACGAGATCACCGCCGTCTTCGGCAACCGGTCTTAACCAACAGATGAGTTGAGCGGCGAGCTGAAGCGGATCCCTGGTAAGGACATCACTGGATTTCCTCACGGCATAATATATGAGTTCCAAGTCGCGTTCGAGGAGATACCGCCTGGCGTGTTCGAGGACACATCGGAGATAGCTTACAGAGATCATTTGAACAGCCGCAAGAAGAAAATCGAACGCGCAGACGGCAAGTTTCTTCAGCTTGTCCACATCGGAAGCGCGCAGAAGGTGTAGCCACGCTTCTTCAACGTGTCGAAGCGTATATGTGACATCCTGCGTTTGCGGCGCGCTTTGAAACGGGGTTTCTTTGGCGACGGGCGAGGAGGCTGGATTCTTCGGCGATTTGTCGGAGCCATTGTCGGCGTCCTCGGAGAAGAAGAGACCGGCTAGTTCTGCGTGGTAGCCGCGAGAGACATCTTGATTCGAAAGATATTTTCTGAGAGCAACTTCGCGAAATTGACCGCGCCAGGAGAACATCAATCGTCCGCTCATCACTCGTACCTAGAACGATATTTTATAAAATAAAAATGTATGAGAGATAATATGGAAATGTAAATGGTGGAAAGAAATTAAAGACAATTATCTGTGTCGATCTATGCCGATTAATCTAGCATGCTCGATTGTGACTTACTTTGAGCCACGGCGCGAATGTTCTTCTGACCAAGCACCAAGTCGCGAAGTTGAATTGGCTCTCATCCAGGAGCAAAGGTTCTTCTCCTCCAGTAGGCATGATCAATTCGAGTATTTCTGTCTCCGACAGACCGTACTCAGTGCAAGCGAGAATCGAGGCAATTCGATTAGCAGCGTCGAGTCCAATAAGCTCCTCCAAGTGCTCCAAAGCGGCGTCGATGCATGGCGTTGCGCATATGCGCCCGGGTAGATCGACGAGAATGTCAGTGCTGCGCAGACGATCCTTCTGAAGCGGCGTGAGACGCATTCCCTCGGGCGGAAGCGCGGAAGTGGCGACGAAATGGACGCCCGCGGGAAGAGCGAGCGGTAACCAGGATAAGGCGGCGACAATATCGCACTCGAGCGGATGGAAACGATGAAGGTCATCGAGGAGAATAATTAATTGATCCGGAAGGGGATGCTCCTCTATGCGGCGCATGATGAGGCTAAACCAATTGTTGAGGTAGAGTGGATCAAAGGAGGCATCGCGCGGTAGATTACCGTCGTTGTCACCGGAAAGAAAACCAATGTGTTGACAGAGAATGCGAAGAAGCTCCAGGCTGTAGGCGGATCGAGGTGTTGCAGTGCACAATCGGACGATGCGAAGCGTCGGCGCCGAGAGCCAGTCAGGCGAATTCTGATAGACACGCGCAAGAATAGAGGATTTGCCAGAGGATTTGGGTCCGTAGATTAGGATAGGCCCGTGCTTATGCTCCTTGCCTAGAGATGTACATACGAGTATATATACATATATATAGCATGGTTTTTATATCCTTTTCCTTATTATTCTGCATTTATATATTGTCATTTTGAAACGTTAAGTTAACTATACCTGCAAGGATAAGCTTTTTCACTTGCTCTACAGCTTCGTCATTCTCGTCGGCCAACGGTAATTCTCGAAGGAGAGCAAAATGCGCCATACTTTCGGCGTAGACTTCCTGAACCATCTTCTTGCGGCTTTTGATTTCCGGATCAGCCTCTACGGATGCGTTCACTAGCTGCTGCAGCCTGTCCAATATTAGTTCTCGAAGCTTTCCAAGGTACTCATCGTGAACGTCGTAGTCGGTATCGATACTGCCATTATGATATTCCACGTGTAAATGCAGCACGTTATCGTGGGGCAGGTTAGCTTGAACGCGATTTTTGAGCTTCTCGCCAGCTGATGTATATTTCGGCGCGTTATTGCCCGTCCATTCGCGTATCACAGCCATTATTCCCAAGCCCTGCTGGTCTAGACCTGATAGCAATGCTCCAACGATTATACCATCGGTGAATTATTCCTGTGTGTGTGTGTCTTTTATAGCACGTATATACCTATAGTCTATAGCAATATGAGAGAGCTTTGGAATTTGTTTCAAACGCTCGTATTCAAAAATAAACGATTTTTACGACTAAAATTTTGATCGCTATCAATTAATCGCAATACGAGATTGGAATATTCAGAGAATAAATCTCCTTTTAGCCAACGAGATGGCTAAAAATAACTCGTTTCGAGCAGCAATTAAATTTCCTAAGTGAAGAAACGAATTAACGTGATGTTAAAGCGAAGCACAAAATGGCTCAATTTCTAGCTTTCGCGTATAAAAGCCTCTTGTTATGACGTACAATGCAGAATAGTCGTCGCGTGTTTGACGAAGAGTAATTTAAGCGGGGCACTTTATGCTTGACCCAAAAGATCAGCACATCTCCTATTTTTAGAAAAGAAAAACTTCGACAGAATCCGCCGTTATAGCAGATCGAAGCAATCCTGAAATATGTCATGCCACACCGTCGTGTCACCATATGAGAGTCGATCAAATATTGACAGCGAGAGCAGTGACGGTAATCCGATCCGTGTTGCGTTATTTATATATCGATTTTGCAAAGATACGACGTGCATGCAACACATATCGGAATAGCAATCACTCTTATGGATCTCTACGCGTGTTTAATCTTATATTTTACAGATATAGTAAATATCTTAAACCGTTACTCACTTAGGCCGTATTCCAGCTGTCGCTCCATCGTACTCTTCAAGATATATCTCAACTCCTGATTGTCCGGTTGCTCCACAATTGCGCATTCCGCGGCGGTCCTTAGCGCCAGCCGTAGGCTCGGTTCTTGATCCTTCTGCCATTCTTGTTGAGCGGTTTGCACGCTGTTCACATGCAACTTGTAATGGTTCAAAAGTAGGTGGAAAAAGGGAAGGACGATTCTAAACATCAAGTGTTACCTATTAGCATTCAAAACATAAGAGTGCCCGTTGTGCTCGTAATGATCTTTAAGAAGAGCGCAGTGTGCGAGAAGCGTTTGGAAGGTAGCTTCTTTCAATTCCGTTGGTATCCACCCTACGGTATAATTTGTTCCTGTCAACAGCTGAAAGGATAACAAATGGACAAACGAGTTATATCTCTGCATTTTGAGCAGATGTAAGAAAAGAAAATACGAAAAAAGAGAATGGGATGAGATACTCGCAAAATAAAATAAGAGAAAGAGAAATCATTTGAGAATGAGATATAAATATTTTCGTACAGTAGCAATTGCAGTATAACCGGAGTATTCCATTATGTTATTTGAGAAAGGATATGCGCATACAATTTACGATTCTACGCGGTAATGAAAAATAAATGTGGTGACGGTTTGCCGATCGATAGCGACACCGAATATTTCTTACCAGAAGGAAACATCCCCGGGAATGTCGGTGAGACGCATTTATCTCTTCTAAGAAAAATTCCGCCAGACGTGGATTGGTATCCGGGTTATCACCGGTTCCGTATTGCATGTCCACCAGAAGCACCTGCGCAAGGCAAGCGGTCAACAAACACACGATCGTTAAAATAAATGAATTCACTTACTGACCTCGATTCCCATATCATCATAAATTGATTGCAGTTCCGGACCGATCACCTCCAGCAGCTGTTTGCGCTCTT